TTTTAAACCACCAACGAAAAAAAAAAAAAAAAAAAAAAAAAAACGCAAATTCTCCCAGCCACTCCAGCTAAACTACACAAGGTAGAAACTTTTTACTTGGATTTTCATGCTTCCTGGCTGCTAATGAACAATATCAAAACAAAAAATGATTTTTTCGCAACAATTTTTGTTTTCGAGCACCATAGACATGTCATTTTAAAAAGCAAGCAGTGCAAGGGAGAGGGGGTTTTAAGCATGTGTTTTTTCTAGTTTGTAACCAGCATATGAGGGTGAAAACACAGGGGTATATAGGCAATTGATTACAATGTAGTCATTGCAATCAATACAGCCAATAATAATAAAGCGAGGATTATTTTTAGCATAGATGGATTAGCTACACGGAGGTCAAAAAGCCTCGCTAGGACTTAGAAACACCCGTGGATAAAAAAATATCCACTAGGTGTTTCACTGGCTCAGAAAAGTTATGTACCTATTCTCGGACAGGGCGCTATAGGCATTACCGAGGGCTGATGAGAATAGGTGTGTGTGTGCCTATTGTCTACCACGATGGGATAGGGGGAGAGGGGGGGGATGAATTTAAGGGCTAGGAGAGAGAGAGAGAGGAGATAGAGGGATATAGGGGGCGGGGAAATCCTTGAATATATCAACGTGGATAACCGAGTTTCTAATGTTATAAGATTGACTCGAATATTCTCCTTTCAGTCGCGAAGATCACCGCCACCAACAACGAGTGGGTTTGGGTAGGGAATTCGTAAAGTCAATATTGACTTATTAACTACGTGCATAGGTGATATACTAAACATAATAGATACCCTTAAAAAGATTCATAGAAAACACCGACCTTACCTAACCTTGTTAGTATCTTAAGATAAGCATCTTACTGCTTCGTAATTACAATTATTACTTAACCTATACCTATTATAGGTTAGGTAATAATTGTAATTACGAAGCAATAGGATGCTTATCTTAAGATACTAACAAGGTTAGGTAAGGTCGGTGTTTTCTATGAATCTTTTTAAGGGTATCTATTATGTTAAGTATGTCACCTATGCACATATTTAATAAGTCAATATTGACTTATTAAATTTGCGAGAACGGGTATGGGTAGGGGAGGCGGTAATACCCATGCTTGTATTCAGATAAACGCTCCTGGAAACCCGCGCTTCACATCACCAACGCAAAACAATTTTTTTTTTAGGAAGGTGGGGGCAGCCTCATCCTAAGAATGGGCTTCACTTGCATGTCCGCCAGACCGTTAAGGGCGAAAGTTAACATTTAACCTGACATAAGATGAAAACAAATGTATATGATCATCAAAGACATCGGGTTTATATATACAAGAGATCAATATATATTTTGCCCCCACGTAAGCGGAACAAACATTTCATGGAACGTACATGGATGTATGTATATATATATATATATATATATATATATATATATATATATATATATATATATATATATATATATATATATATATATATATATATATATGTATATGTACATGTGTAACATTAACAATTGTATAACTAGCTTCAATATATAGCCACTTGGTTAGCTAAACGAACTATGGGTTTCAGTACCTGAGCCCATTCTGTGCCTCTGTAACCCGTCCCACCACCGCCCACGGGATAGGTATGGAGTGCATAATAAAGAAATTGAATTGGAGGATCATGGGAGGGGAACGAGACAACGTACCTGCCACAGAAACAGCAGAGGAAGGGAGAGGAGCGAGTGGAAGGGACCAGAAAGGGACAGGAGCCTGAGGAAGCGGTCGGATCTGCTCCCGGGACATAACCCAACACACCTAGTGGACAGAAGAGCCAGCCAGTCTCGATTCGTGGCTCGCCCCGCCACGCCAGTTTGAAAGGAAGAATCAAAGGTCGATACTAATAAGATGTGTAAAGAAAACAAAACAAAAAATTGAGCTCTGAAACCATGGGAAACCATCAACCAGGACACCGAGGAGGGCCCAGTGCCTACCGGTTCAGAATTTCACTTCTTGAAACAATCTTTAGGAGAGGAGACCACAATAAGAATACTTCCATTTATATATGTATTAATTCTAGCCGTCCACCTACAGACTATTTTACTCACGAGTTACCTCAAACACACTTTTCATCAGCTGGTTTCATTACAACATATGTGTGTCTTTTACACACAGGTTCATACATATAAATACCATATATATATATACATATATTGATGACCAAACCACAGACTAAAAAGTGAAGACTTGAGAATGGTCCAGGACGGACCGAAACGTCGTCGTCCCTTCACTTTTCTAGTGTGTGGTTTGGTCAACATATTTCAGCCACGTTATTGTGACTCCTCGTCTATATACACGTATATTTATATGGGGTATGCCATAGGTTCACAAGTGGGATTTGCCATGGGTTCACAAGGGGGATATGCCATCGGTTCACAAGGGGGATATGCCATCGGTTCGCAAGAGGATATACCAAGCACCAGTCTCATGATTGTCTAAGGAGATGCCTATCAACCCTAGGAAGGATAACAGCCATAGCATTTATTTTCGCGTTGACAGACAACACTGTTCACTGACGTATATCTGACGTATATACACACACGCCCAGAGATATCATAGACCAGGTTGTTTCAAAGATGAAAACAGCCCCCAATCATATTTATATATTCTCTCCCGTTGATTGAAGCACTTATTGGCATGCAGGTCGCCTTAAATGCTAATGGTGAAACAGCGTTTCTCGATCCAAAATAAACTCGAGAGATACTCTCTACAAGTGTATACAGTGAAAATTTTAATACAGATGTTGCGGCTGTTAATGACGATATACGGGAAGAGTTCACTGACCATGTGACCCGTCCCACAGGGCTCATGATCTTTCAGAGAAAGTGTGTGTGTGTGTGTGTGTGTGTGTGTGTGTGTGTGTGCGTGCGTGCGCGTGTGTGTGTGTGTGTGTGTGTGTGTGTGTGTGTGTGTGTGTGTGTGTGTGTGTGTGTGTGTGTGTGTGTGTGCGCGTGTGTGTGTGTGTGTGCGCGTGCGTGTGTGTGTGTTTACTTTTCTCAGCAACACATTTATGTCAGTCTGGATTTTCCAGCTTATTTCTCACCTGGATTTTCCAGCTTATTTCTCATTTGGATTTTCCAACTTATTTCTCATTAAATCGAAAAAACAAGATCTCTAGTGGCTGTGAAAGGCGACCTTCCACCACCCGGGCCATAACTGGTCCCTGGGGTGTGTGTTAGGGGTGGTAGGTCTAAACACCATCAACCAAGTCATTAATTCACTCTGCAGATGAGGCCTCATTAGTGATATTTTAAAACCAAGTTATGAGATAACACCTGGGAAAACCTTTCCTCTTAGTTTTGCTGCAGTTTATGTGTAAAATATTTTTTTTATCGTGATAAGTTTAATCTTAAAAAAGCATAATGATGCTTAAATAAGCATAATCTTAAATGATAAGATTAATCTTAGTAAGCATAGGATTTCGCTGTCCTCCATTAAATCTAAAATTCTTCTATCACCTACGATATTTAATATTTTGTTAACTTTATTGTTTTTTACCAATTAACATTACAACAACACATCTTGCCAGTTATACATTATGTTTCATATACATTTTAATGCATTAATACTAAGAATCTTAGGTTTTTAAAAGGATATTTGTTAAAGTTTAGTGTTTTGACTTAAAGTTTATCAAATCACTCTTACACAATAAGTTGTACGAGTCTAAATGGCTCACATTTACAAGAAAATATTTATATATTTCAACTGTCAGTCATGTAGATTACCAAGACAGTAATTTTTATTTTAAAAGTGCAGTTAAAATTATAACTACTATTTTGATTTTAATTATGTCAAAGTTTATTGTTGTTTATAATTTAATGTTTTATATCTTGCTTTACTTTGTAATTTGAAATGAATTGTCCTCGTAACAAAATCTCGTAATATTTTTATTTTTTATTTATTTATTATTTTAATGAATTATTTTTATTATATTGTCCTCTAACCAAACTTTATTGATCTTTATGCGTGGTATTTCTGGGATATATTTTCCTTTTACTTATCCTTTCAGATCTTGGTGTATGTGTACTCGGTGAATGTGAAGAGAAAATAGCTTTTAATATTGGTGAATATATTATATACTTAAGTGAGATAAAGAACCAATCTCATACTTCGTTGTCTTTGCTTATCAGTGTCTGAATGTGTGTAAGTTAACTAGGACGTCTTAATCCATCTATTCTAAACTTGAAATTCGTTAAATGGTTAATGTTGATGCCCATTTATAGATGCAAATTCCAAATACTGTACACGCAATTGAGTGTTAGTCTACATCATTTTTTTATAATCAACACGTGGGCACGTGGATGGCACTAGGGATGCCCGGAGGATAGATAGAGGAGGGAGGATAGATGAAGGAGGGGGATAGAGGCTAGAAAGCCCTGGCCTGGGTCTTACTAAACACCATCTGCTTTCACTAATCCTGCAAAACGATGGTTTTCATATCCGAGGAATATTTAATTTTAGGACCAAGACTAGCCCACTGCCACACAGCGTCTGTGTTATTGATCTGATGCAGACGATGGTCCACAACAACCTGGCTGAACACAGGATGACCAACCCCCCCACACGTCACAAAGTAAGGAAACTAACGTCGTTTCTTATTGATTTGATCTTTAAGATTTATTTAAATTGATTAGTTCCATTTAAGCTTTTTCTGCTCGTATTATATTCATTCATTGTACATGTACTTGTGTATTATTTTGACACGTATTATCTTATTGTATTTATTTGTATCTAATTACCTCATTGTGACGCCAGAGACAATTTAATCAAGCAGGTAATTGTTACGAGACTGCCTCAAGGAGCTCACGAGATTTTGGAGGGAGGAGAGTTTATCTCGAGAACGCTTCCTCAAGTGCATTCGTGACCAGTAGTGCTCAGGACGGGCTACTGCTGACTGCTGCTTTAGTCAGCAGTGCACTGAGGGAGCTACTGCTGACTGCTGCTTTAGTCAGCAGTGCACTGAGGGAGCTACTGCTGCTCCAGTCAGTAGCACAACGAAGGAGCTCCCGCTGACTGCTCGTCCAGTCAGCAGTGCACTGAAGGAGCTACTGCTGCCTGCTCCTCCAGTCAGCAGTGCACCGAAGGAGCTACTGCTGACTGCTCCTCCAGTCAGCAGTGCACCGAAGGAGCTACTGCGGACTGCTCCTCCAGTCAGCAGTGCACTGAAGGAGCTACTGCTGCCTGCTCCTCCAGTCAGCAGTGCACTGAAGGAGCTACTGCTGCCTGCTCCTCCAGTCAGCAGTGCACCGAAGGAGCTACTGCTGACTGCTCCTCCAGTCAGCAGTGCACCGAAGGAGCTACTGCGGACTGCTCCTCCAGTCAGCAGTGCACTGAAGGAGCTACTGCTGCCTGCTCCTCCAGTCAGCAGTGCACCGAAGGAGCTACTGCTGCCTGCTCCTCCAGTCAGCAGTGCACCGAAGGAGCTACTGCGGACTGCTCCTCCAGTCAGCAGTGCACTGAAGGAGCTACTGCTGACTGCTCCTCCAGTCAGCAGTGCACCGAAGGAGCTACTGCTGACTGCTCCTCCAGTCAGCAGTGCACCGAAGGAGCTACTGCTGACTGCTCCTCCAGTCAGCAGTGCACCGAAGGAGCTACAGCTGACTGCTCCTCCAGTCAGCAGTGCACCGAAGGAGCTACTGCTGACTGCTCCTCCAGTCAGCAGTGCACCGAAGGAGCTACTGCTGACTGCTCCTCCAGTCAGCAGTGCACCGAAGGAGCTACAGCTGACTGCTCGTCCAGTCAGCAGTGCACTGAAGGAGCTACTGCTGCCTGCTCCTCCAGTCAGCAGTGCACCGAAGGAGCTCCCGCTGACTGCTCCTCCAGTCAGCAGTGCACCGAAGGAGCTACTGCTGCCTGCTCCTCCAGTCAGCAGTGCACCGAAGGAGCTCCCGCTGACTGCTCCTCCAGTCAGCAACATTGTGTGAAGGTCAGTCAGCACACAACTGCCCCTCAGCTCTCGCTAACATCCTTTACCCTAACTCTTCCATCTCCACCTTCCTACATTATTGACATGGTTGCATTTTTAAATAATCTGGAATTCATGTTCCTTAAACGCAAAGTTGAAAATGCGAAGGATAATATTGAGGTTGAGGGGGGAGGGAGGGAGGGAGAGCGGGGGGGGGAGAGAGAGAGAGAGAGAGAGAGAGAGAGAGAGAGAGAGAGAGAGAGAGAGAGAGAGAGAGAGAGAGAGAGAGAGAGAGAGAGAGAGAGAGAGAGAGAGAGAGAGAGAGAGAGAGAGAGAGAGAGAGAGAGAGAGAGAAGAGAGAGAGAGAGAGAGAGAGAGAGAGAGAGAGAGAGAGAGAGAGAGAGAGAGAGAGAGAGAGAGAGAGAGAGAGAGAGAGAGAGAGAGAGAGAGAGAGAGAGAGAGAGAGAGAGAGAGAGAGAGAGAGAGAGAGAGAGAGAGAGAGAGAGAGAGAAGAGAGAGAGAGAGAGAGAGAGAGAGAGAGAGAGAGAGAGAGAGAGAGAGAGAGAGAGAGAGAGAGAGAGAGAGAGAGAGAGAGAGAGAGAGAGAGAGAGAGAGAGAGAGAGAGAGAGAGAGAGAGAGAGAGAGAGAGAGAGAGAGAGAGAGAGAGAGAGAGAGAGAGAGAGAGAGAGAGAGAGAAGAGAGAGAGAGAGAGAGAAGAGAGAGAAGAGAGAGAGAAGAGAGAGAAGAGAGAGAGAAGAGAGAAAGAGAAGAGAGAGAAGAGAGAGAGAAGAGAGAGAAGAGAGAAAGAGAAGAGAGAAAGAGAAGAGAGAGAAGAGAGAGAAGAATAACCAAGTGGAAAAAAGTTCGAGACTCCGTCAATGTCCTCTTCAGCGTTTAACCGTCAAGAACGCAGACTCTTCTCACTCTCCTCTACAGCTGAACGCTCCCTGAAGCGTTCTAACTTTTCCATCAAATTTTATTTGAACCTTTAATAGATCACCGCCATATTAATATTCGTTCACCTGCAGCACTTACTCTAAAAAAAAATCCATAATCGATAAATTTAAGAATCGCTATCTTTCCAGTTTTAAAACATTCGTCGTCTTGGGTAAAAAGAGAAGGGGAAATCTCTCGGAATTTACCCCAAAGGCAAAGGCTTTTACAGTCTTCAAGTTGAGTTACTGAGGATGTATTCTAGGACGCTCTCTCTCATGTTATTGTTTAAGAAAGCTTCTGTACAAACTTTTGTTTAAAAAAGTTTATGCATTCCAGGAGTTGGCGTTCGAAACGCACTTAGATTTAAAACGCTAAAGCACTAGAGAAAGTTGCGAGGTGTACATGTTATATCAATATGTATTTCAGACACGAATGAAACCCCTCAGAAAAGTGCGTGCATCAAGCTGCCTTCTGCGAGATACGAGCAATGTACACTTTGTTGACGCGCGCTGTTTCACCGCTGCCCCAAACTGTATGCTTCAACACCGCCCTCAGCCCTGATATATCTCTGGTCGCTCAGATCGTTGCTTTACACGCTCTTGTCCGACACGGCACGGCCCCCTCAGACACTGCACGGCCCCCTCAGACACTGCACGGCCCCCTCAGACACTGCACGGCCTCCTCAGACACTGCACGGCCCCCTCAGACACTGCACGGCCTCCTCAGACACTGCACGGCCCCCTCACACACGGCACGCCCTCTCTCTCACCACACACGGCACGAGATGCCCCTAGAAGCTAGTGACTACAACATTATCGCGATTCAGGATGTAACGGAACTAAAGGAACTGGATACACCTCAACACGTCGAGGAGTATACTCATACTCAGACTACTCATACTCAGACTACTCATACTCAGACTACTCATACTCAGACTACTCATACTCAGACTACTCATACTCAGACTACTCATACTCAGACTACTCATACTCAGACTACACAGAAGTGGGGACTACAATAAGGTGATGGATTTTCTGAGTGACGTCCAGTGGGAGAGAGAACTGGAAGGGGAGACAAATGAAATTAGGGAAGTTGTCACTCAGAAGAGTCCAGATGCAGCCTAAATATACATCCCACTCAAGAAGACGGTGGATGGGAATGGCAAAGTAAATCCCTGGTTTAATAGGAGAAACCAAGAAACGAAGAGGAATAAAAAAATAATAATGGAAAAGTAGAAGAGGGGAAGGAACAGAGGAGAATATAAATGCGCTAAAGTGAGCCTGAAATGAATCGACAGGGAAAAGGGGTTGAGAATTTTGAAAATGACAGCAGCTGCAAAAGCTACGGAACAACCAAAGCTATTTTATACCTATGTAAGGAAACAAATAGTTAAGAGCTCATGTGACAAGGCTAAAAAATCAAGGGAAAAGTCTCACGGAAAACGACAAGGAGGTATGTGAGGAACTAAACGATAAAATTCACTAAATCTTTACAGTGGAACCAAGATAAAGACTAGAAATGAGTGATGAAAGGCCAGACGACACGGTAGTCACTGTGGAAGAGATTAAAAAAAACACCTGAAGAAAAAAGACGCAACAACATCAATCGAGCCAGACTATCTCCATGGCTACTGAAGGAGGCTACACAGGTGTTATGTCACTCGCTAACGGAGATATTTAATAAAGCACTCGATACAGGAATTCTTCCAGGATTGTATAAAAGGCCAACGAAGTCCCAATATTCACGAGAGGGGAGAGACAGAAGGCAGTAAATTATAGACCAGTGTCGCTGACAATTATTCCTTGTAAAGTGCTGAAGAAAGTAATCCAGATGAGAGCAGTGGAGCACCTGGAGAGGCTCAACTTTTGTAACAGAGCCTATCTTGAGGTTATCTTGAGATGATTTCGGGGCTTTAGTGTCCCCGCGGCCCGGTCCTCGACCAGGCCTCCACCCCCAGGAAGCAGCCCGTGACAGCTGACTAACTCCCAGGTACCTATTTACTGCTAGGTAACAGGGGCATTCAGGGTGAAAGAAACTTTGCCCATTTGTTTCTGCCTCGTGCGGGAATCGAACCCGAGCCACAGAATTACGAGTCCTGCGCGCTATCCACCAGGCTACAAGGCATAAGCACATGGTCAACGTTGACCAGACCACACACTAGAAAGTGAATGGACGACGACGTTTCGATCCGTCCTGGACCATTCACAATCGACTTGAAAATGGTCCAGGACGGCCCGAAACGTCGTCGTCCCTTCACCTTCTAGTGTGTGGTCTGGTCAACTTACTTTAGCCACGTTATTGTGACTCATCGCCTGCACATGGTCAACCTTAGTGGTCACAGCAACAGTATACATAGATCACTATTGTCTGAGGACCTATAATGATATCAACCCAGCAATTACCACTTGAACCAGTGTCTAACTGGATAACTAGACGAACCGATAAGTTGAAGTGGGCCCCCCACTTGGACGCTTTTTTTGCCGCCGAAAAAGTGGATTGCTCCCCTCAGAAATCGCTCGCAGTTTCCGAGATCATTCACCAGACGGAGTAACATCAGGCAATGTATAGGTCTCTCACACACGGCACACTTGTGGGAGTTTATTTCGCTTCTGCACGTCACGACAGACTGGTGAAGGCAGCAGGAGCCCCCTCCTCTCCTGCCTGCTGGTGGCACACAAGGGCCCCTTCACCACATCTTCAGGGGGGCCCCCCTTCATCACATCTTCAGGGGGCCCCCTTCATCACATCTTCAGGGGGGCCCCCTTCATCACATCTTCAGGGGGCCCCCTTCATCACACCTCCAGGCCCCCCCCCTCATCACCCGCTGATGGGGACCATATCAGGAAGATATCATCAGAGGAATGTGCAAGGTTAGGCAACAATTATGAATTACCTTTCGAAATTTAAGAAATCATTCAGAACTTTCTACATCACTAATGTCAGACCAATCCTGAAGTATGCAGTTCCAGCGTGGAATCCATATCTAGTCAAGGTCGGAGAAAAACAACCAGATTAGTCCCAGAACTACGAGGTACGCATTTCAGGAATGGCTACAGGAGTTAAACCTCACGTCGTTGGAAGACAAAAGATTATCACGTACAAAACTATGAAGGGAAATGATAGGCAAGATAGAAAAGACAGACTATTTACCATGTTCGCACTCACACAAAGGGACACAGGTGGAAACCGAGTAGCCAAAATAAACCTCTCACACATTAGAAAGAATGTTTTCAGTGCCATAGTGAACAAAAGGAATGTATTAGGCAGTGACGTGGTGGAGGCTGACTCCATACACAGTTTCAACTGTAGATATGATAAGAGCCCAATAGTCTCGGGAACCTGTACACCAGTTGATTGACCAAAGAGGCGAAGTTCAATCCCCCGAGAGAAAATTCTGACAAGTTTATATGAGTATAATAATCACTCTCCCACGATATCTACAATCCTCCCAAACCACTATGGAGCCTGGGAGGACAGTAACCACTTGGGCTGGACGGTAGAGCGACGGTCTCGCTTCATGCAGATCTGCGTTCAATCTCCCGACCGTCCACAAGTGGTTGGGAACCATTCCTGTCCCCCATTCCATCACAAATCCTTATCCTGACCCCTTCCCAGTGCTATATAGTCGTAATGGATTGGCGCTTTCCCCTGATAACTCACTCCCTCTCCTCTCCCACAGTAGCGGCCTGGGAGCACCACCACCACTCTCCCACAGCATCCATTAACACCCATTATCACCATTTTCTCCATCATGCTTACGGGGGCCTCTCCCATTTACCATCTTTATCCTTTAAACACCTATTTTTTTATTTTATTTTATTTACACCTCTCAATTTACCTCCAGTTTTATTTCACGGAGCCAAATACATTGTCCCTTTAACTCCATTTATGTTAAAAAAAAATGTATCCGCCTTCATGTATTTTACTCCCTCAATATCTCCTCCCTTGTCCATCTATTTTATCTCCCATTTTCTGCCCCTCATTTCGTTTTTGTCAACCTTTGTCTGAATCAGGAAAAAAGTAAAATTATGTATAACAGAGAGAAGGGGGTAAGAATAATTGTAGTAAAGAATTCT